GACAACTGGTTTGTGTGTTTTCCTTTGTGTACCTAGGACCTCTCTTATATGTGTGCTTGTATTTGCTTTCATCAACCATGCTTTCATGATTTCAAGCTTACAATCTACTACTACGTATTGACGAGAGTAGATACACAACGAAGTACTGCCGAAACTCTGCTCAACCAGAACACTCACTCTACAAGCTAAGCTTGGCATAACTACTCACTTGGTTCTCCAGTGATGTTAAGTGTTGCCTAGTTTATGTTTGTGGCACTGAGTTAATCGCTTCCGCATAGTACTTAGAGTTAACAAAAACGAATGCACACAGAACATACACAAAATGCATAACATCATGCAGGCGGCTGGTTGCAGTGCGAAAATAATATTTTGCACCCAACAACTATAACGCGTACCTTAACGATTTCAACGCGTTTGGTAACTCGCTTAACACGTTTGGAAACTCGCTTAACACGTTTGGTAACTCGCTTAACGCGTATGGTAACTATACACTAGCAGCCCATCACGCGAATGGTAACTAGAAGAAATTCTCGCCCAAAATGACCCTGGTTCTGGTTTTTCCCGCTCGCGTCAGACTAAATTGACGAATCTTGAAGCAGAAACGTATGACACACTCTCCGAAATTCTGACACAGTTTTTCGAAATTCTGACACACTTTCCGATTTTCAAGCTAATTGAAAAAACGTAAGTGTTGTGAAAACAACTGTTCATACATAACTGATATTCTGACGCTCTTTCCGCAAACTGTTTGTACTTCATTCTATCAGCCGGGGCAAACAAATCTATGTCAGAATGTTATAATTGTCTAGCCTGCAGTGGGGTACTCTATAGCGAGTACAACCCAATTAGGGTTTCCTATATGTATGCCAACTGCTGCTAGTGCAAACCCTCCTTTCTTCATTCTTACTTTCTACTGCTAATTCTGACATGCTATCAGAGCAGGTCGACCCTCCTGGGTCGATCCTGTGGGTGGGCCCACCACCTCACTGCTTCCGCTGCTACTGCTACTCTGTGTGTTGCACGCCCCGTGGCGTGCGACGGATTTTTCATCCCGCCGCGCGCTCGGAGCGTGCGGCGGTTTTCTGCCCGCCGTGCGCCCCGAGGCGCGCGGCGGTTTTCTGCCCGCCGTGCGCCCCGAGGCGCGCGGCGGTTTTCTGCCCGCCGTGCGCCCCGAGGCGCGCGGCGGCTTTCTGCCCCGTCACTCCGCGCGTCGCTCCCGGGAGGCGCTGCGACGGGCGACGGGGACCCGCGCGTCGCCCCCCGTCGCCCGTCGCGGCCTGCGAGACCTGCGTAGGGCCCGCGCGCGGCCCGTACAGCCTGCGCGCGGCCCGTACGGGCTGCGCCAGGCCAGGGCGCGCCTCGGGCCGCCCGCGCGCGGTTCGTACGGGCTGCGCCAGGCCCGTGGGCGCCCTGTTTCCTCTTCCCCTGAGCTGCCCGCTGTCCCCCGTGCTTCTGACGGTGCCCCACCCCTGCTGCTGCCCGTTCTCCTGAATTAGGGTTTGGGGTGGGGGGTATGGGGGTGCAGTTTCTGTGTGCCGTCCCCTGCTCCTCCTCCTCCTCCGTCTCCCAGTGCTGCAGCTGCCGCTGAGGGGGGTGGATCTGTTGGAGCCGTCGGAGTAGTACTAAGGGGTGAAGGGGGAGTGGAGCTAGGGGTGAAGCAGGGGGTGTGTGTCAGGGGGGGTGGGACTGTTTGGGGAGGCTGAGTGGAGGCTGCCGTCTTGTCGTCCGCAGCACCTGTAGTCCGGGGCGCTGTCCTGGTAGCCCAGAGAGCCTGCTGCGCCTGTCGCCCGTGGGTCCGTTGCTCCTGTAGCTCCTCGTAGCCCGTGAGCCAGTTACTCCAGTAGTCCGGGACGCTGTCCCGGTAGCCACTGTGCCAGCCGCTCCTGTTGCCCGTGTGTCTGCAGCTTCAGCCGTCGTCTCCCATCTTCTCTCCTCTCACAGTCCCTCCTCCTCCTCACTTGCCCGCTGTGACTACCACTAGCTTTGCTCATAATTGTGAACTACTGCTATGCTTGCTCATTGTGCTGATTACACCCCACTTTGGCTATGGGGGTGTGTCAGAATGTTATAATTGTCTAGCCTGCAGTGGGGTACTCTATAGCGAGTACAACCCAATTAGGGTTTCCTATATGTATGCCAACTGCTGCTAGTGCAAACCCTCCTTTCTTCATTCTTACTTTCTACTGCTAATTCTGACAATCTATACCCCTTTCAGATGGCAAATGAATTTGAGAGCATCAACCCTAAACTCCTTGCGACAAGGCGTTAATGCAGGGCTGACGATATCAGACTATTTTAGTCTGATTGTCTGAAATTTCAGACTATTTTCCTGACATTCCTGGTTTTTCAGGGTCGGCTGATTTTGAAAAATGAGTGCTTCAGACTAATGTTCTTTTCAATACTGAAAATTTCAGAGTACTTGCATGAGTTTTCATACTACAGAGTACGAAGTCCCCTACGCCATTCCTGTTACTAGAGTGAAACCCCATCCCTCGGGACTTGCAAAAGACCCGTTAGTAGTAAAACCTGCTTTCAACTTATGATAGTCTCTGAATTCCAAAATTTTCAGAGTTATACTTCTTTGGTTCCTGAGAAATCAGAGTAATCATTTTTTGGAAAATGGGCTCAGACTAAAAAAAATTGGGGGGCCAAAACAATCAGAGTGGTTTTATTTGAAAAGTCAGCCCTGGTTTATGGTTCTTTTTTTCAAGAAACATGTAATTCTAAAGAGGTGTATTTTTCCCACATGCAAATATTCTCCAACGTTGCAGTAATTACAAAAAAAAAAAGGTAAAAGCCCCGAGGTCCTTTCGGGGAATGTTTTTTTATCGTTTTGCAAGTTCGCAATCATGCTATCAAAAATATGATTTTAACCGTTTTTGTAAGAGCTACATATATACATAACGGCTCTGAAACTTTTCGGTCCGTGGTAATAGAACAAACGGGGTCCTTCAAAGTCGCGGCGGGACTTGTTCAAGAAAGATAAAACTGTCCGTAGAAGCTTTCAAACTCGATAAATTCCTCTTTGTCATTATCATTTCGGCGGGAGCTTCTGTCAAAAAAGTAGTTGGAACTTAGTAGCAAGTACTAGCATGAGTGTCGAGATAGTTGAGCAAAGGAGAAAAGGTGATTCACTAATGAGCAAGATACAAGATATAGTTCAAGGGACAAGGGAATGAGGTGCACCACCAATGTAACACTGCACTAACTACTGCTACAAGCAGTTTATATAAGAAATATATTTCAACAAAGAAATATAGTTCAACACACCCCCTAAACTGCTTGCAGCAGGAAGCTAATGCAGAGAGACACCCCCTGAAGGGGTACACCAATCACAGCAGAAGGAGAGGGCAAGTGAGGAGGAGGAGGGACTATGAGAGGAGAGGAGGTAGGAGGTGGCAGCTGAAGCTGCTGGCACACGGGCGACTGGAGCAACTGGCACACAGGCTACCGGAGCAAGGGCATCCGGACTACTGGAGTAACTGGCTCCGCGGCTAGACGAGCGGCTGGAGCAACTGACCCTCGGGCGACTGGAGCAACGGGCTCACAGGCTACCGGAGCAACGGCATCCGGACTACTGGAGCTGCATGCTTCATGGCGGCTACCTCCTTTCAACCTCCCCCCATTGTCCCACACCCCCTTTTCACACCCCCTTCTGCATCCCTAGCGCCACTCCCTCGGCTCCCCCACACCCTTCCCCCCTCAGCGGCAGCTGCAGCAGTGGGAGAGAGAGGAGGAGGAGGAGCAGCAGATTACTCACACCCGCCACCCCCATACCCGCCACCCCGATACCCTCCCCCCCACGGCTGCACGCGCAGCAGGGAGAGGAAGGAGAAGGGGGGGGGCGGGTGGGGGCGGGGAAGAAGCTGCCCCGCGGTTACAAAGGGGCGGCGCGCGGGTGCACGGGGCGGCGCGCGGGTGCCACGGGGCGGCGCGCGGGTGCACCGGGGCGGCGCGCGGGTGCAGCCGGGCGGCGCGCGGGTGAACGGGGCGGCGCACGGGTGCCACAGGACGGCGCGCGGGTGCCACGAGGCGGCGCACGGGTGTAAGCAAACCGCCGCGCGCCCGGGGCGCATGGTGGGCAGAAAACGTCGCGCGCCTGGGCGCGCGACAGGCAGGAAAATAGTCACGCGCCCGGGGCGCGCGACTGAAAGCACAGCAGCGGAAGCGAACGGTGGGCCCATTGAGAAAGGTCCTAGGAAAGTAACCACTCTGATACAGCATGTCAGAAAAGTAGCTAGAACTTAGTATCCCTAGCTAGGGTTGAAGTACTAGCATGAGTGTCGAGATAATTGAGCAAAGGTAAAAAGGTGATTCACTAATGAGCAAGATACAAGATATAGTTCAAGGGACAAGGGAATGAGGTGCACCACCAATGTAACACTACACTAACTACTGCTACATGTAGGGAACTTCTTGTAGTTACCATTCGTGTGATCACTCGCCTGTGTTGAGTTACCAAATGCGTGATGCGAGTTACCAAATGCGTGAAAACGCATATATAAGTTTCCATACGCGTTAAGCGAGTTACCAAACGTGTTAAGCGAGTTACCAAACGCGTTAAGCGAGTTACCAAACGCGTTGAAATCGTTACCGTATGCGTTATAGTGCCCCATGTAAGTTACCATTGACATATTTTCCCAAGTTTTTTTTCTAAGACTATACTGATTTTTCTGGGTTTTTTTTTTTTTTTTTTTTTTTTTTTTTTTTTTTTTTACAGAAAGTTTCTTTACAGGGACCAACACTGAGGGCAATATCAACCCTGGAATGAAACCCAGGGCAATGAAACCCTGGAATCAGCGTCCTACAAAACCAATCTGAGGGCCTGGATGGAACCCCAACAACAATCGTCTTCAGTTCCTGCGACATCTTCCCTCCAAGTCAATTCCGAAGCACAATGCAAAGAAGTACTAGGTTTTGCCTTTCTTTAATCTTGTGAAATTCATACAGCATCAACACAATACACGTGGTAACCAGCAACAAATCAAACCCCAAGAGCCTCAAGCCGCAGCAGCTGCCTGCTTGTTGCGCTGCACTCGCCTCACTACCTCCTCCATGGCAATATCAAAGGCGTCTCGCTTTTGTTCCATAGGGTACATGCGCGGATGGTTGTAGACCACTGCCGGTAACACCTCCCTTATGATCTTCAATCGCATGCGCCGCACCTAGAGAGAGTCAAACGTAGAGTCAGGGGAGGGTAAAGGGGAAGGAAAGGTGCGATGGAGATATGAAAGGGGTCTTGCCTCTGCTGCATGGGTGCATGCATGCATGGTGGTAATACACCAAGTTGACTTCTGAGTCGACTCAAAAGTCAACTCTGCATCAGGCACATGCATGCATGGTGGTAATACATAATACACCGCTGATGGGATGGCTGTTCTCGAGATGGAGATGTGCCACGGGTCAGAACATGCTCCTCAATTACACATACAACAGTGACATGCATATGCGCAACGGTAGCATGCACAACAGTGACATGCACAACAGTGACTTGCGTAACTTGCGTAACAATGACATGCGTAACAGTAACTTCCGTAACAGCTACAAACAAGAAACCACAAATGCACTCTATCTTGACATGGACCATAGAGTCAACACTGTGCGCCTTTGTACTCGGGAAAGGAACCAAGAGTGGGACGAACCGACCGAACCAAGCAACTTTTGAGACGTCTCAAAAGTCACTCAGGAAAGGAACCAACCGAACCAAGCACATACAGACGGTTCGCCCTGGCCCTGCTTACCTCCTTTCCTGGAATCTTCTCGAGCTCCTTGATGACGTCAACCTTGCCTGCCAGCACTGCTTTCTCACTCAGCGCCACCGAGTAGGTGCTGCTGTTGGCGGGCAGGTGCCACTTGTACTGCGATGCAGGAGGAGGGGAAAGAGGAGTAGAGAGAAAGATGATTATTCAATGTCACTGAGTAGGTGCTGCTGTTGGCCGGTAGGTGCCACTTGTACTGCGATGCAGGGAGAAGGGGGGGTGGGGATTTGGGGGGGAAGTTAGGAAAGGGTAGCATGATCACTCAGTGTCGCCGAGTAGGAGCTGCTGTTGGCCGGTAGGTGCCACTTGTACTGATATGCATGGGAGAGGGGGGGGATTGGGAGAGGGACGGATGGAGGGAGGGATAACATGGAGAACCATTTGAAGCGACAGAATAGCTGTTGCTGTTGGCTGGTGGGTGCCACGTGTACTGTGATGCAGGGAGAGGTGGGGGATGGAGGGGGTTGGGAGGAAAGGGTCTGCAGCACAGGGAGGCTGCAGCACAGACGACTAGACGGGGCGCCTTAAAAATCAACAATGGCAGCTTGACTCATACGCGCACGCACACGCACACGCACACGCACACACACACACACAGACACACACACAGACACACACACACACACACACACACACACAGACACACAGACACACAGACACACAGACACACAGACACACAGACACACAGACACACAGACACACAGACACACAGACACACAGACACACAGACACACAGACACACAGACACACAGACACACAGACACACAGACACACAGACACACAGACACACAGACACAGAGACACAGAGACACAGAGACACAGAGACACAGAGACACACAGACACACAGACACACAGACACACAGACACACAGACACACAGACACACAGACACACAGACACACAGACACACAGACACACAGACACACAGACACACAGACACACAGACACACAGACACACAGACACACAGACACACAGACACACACACACACAGACACACAGACACACAGACACACAGACACACAGACACACAGACACACACACACACACACACACACACACACACACACACACACACACACACACACACACACACACACACACACACACACACACACACACACACACACACACACACACACACACACACACACACACACACACACACACACACACACACACACACACACACACACACACACTCAGCCATCTGAAGCTGCACACACACCCACAGTCAGCGCACCTGGGAGGCCCGGAGGGCACAGGGAGGCACCTGGCAACGATTTCATCGACGGCGGCTCTGCGTGCTCATGAGAACATGTGCAGCGCACCTGATATTACAACCATGCTGAGGTTACCTGGGAGGGCACGAAGGAGTCGAGGAAGACGGGGATGCAGCCAGCAACGATGGCGTCAAAGGCGGCTCTGCGGGCACCCGTGTGGCCCGACGGTACGATGCAGAAGGCAGCATCGGTGAATAGATCCATGAGCACCTCTGGCCGCGTGCAGATGTCCTCCACGCACTCTAAGTATCTGGTGGGTGGTAAGTGATAATGAGGGGTTTGGAGGGATACTTGACAGTCAGGCAGATGGCACGATGCAGAAGGCAGCATCGGTGAAGAGATCCATGAGCACCTCTGGCCGCGTGCAGATGTCCTCCACGCACTCCAGGTACCTGACATGGGGAGGGGAGGGGAAGGAGAGTTGAGCGCGGTTTAGTCGTCTTGAGGATAGTCCACTCCACTTTCACGCATAGGAGCACCTCTGGACGCGTGCAGATCCCGTCCATACACTCCAGGTACCTGTGGTGGTGAGTGATGAGGCGAAAAAAAAGGGTTATTGTAGGTGGAAGAGGTTCAGAGAGAGAGGAAGGTTTACAGCGATGCAGAGGGCATAGAAACCTCTGGCCGCATGCAGATCTGCTGCAGCACCCAGTCCAAGGCAAGGCGGCTCTGCGGGCGCCCGTGTGGGCCGAGCAGATGATGCAGAAGGCGGCATGGGTGGAGAGATCCATGAGCACCTCTGGCCGCGTGCAGATCTGCTGCAGCACCCAGTCCAAGTCCCTGTGGTGGCTGATGGGAATAAGGGAGAAAACGGATCAGGCAGATGAAACGAAGTAACAGATGAAACAGATTCATCTGGTGCACCTTATTCACAGAAACACTCCCATGATGGTGAGATTCACAGGTGCGTGGTGGTTGATATGAGGTGAAGAGAACGCGAATGGATCGCTCAGCTCAAGGCCATGCCTTGGCTTTCTTGCACTGCCGCCCCAGTGCCTTGTTATGCTTGCTGAAGGGAAGGCGTCCCTCAGTGATGCAAACGACCACTGTCAAGCCTCCTTGTTGTCGTGATTCACGCGTTTCCATCACCCCACACACACTCGCACTGACCGCCATGCCTTGCCTCACTCAACTCGCCGGCACGCCTTTGCCTTCTTGCACTGCCTGCCCAGTGCCTTGTTGTGCTTGATGAAAGGAAGGCGTCCCTCAGTGATGCAAACGACCACTGTCCTTTAATCACCCCACACAATCTGACACTCACCGGCACGCCTTGGCTTTCTTGCACTGCCTGCCCAGCGCCTTGTTGTGCTTGCTGAACGCGTCCCTCAGTGATGCAAACGCCGCGAGAGATGTGCGCCGGTGCGACTCGGCTATGCGCTGCCACGTCTGCATGGTGAGAGGGGTGGTGAGAGGGGTGGTGAGAGGGGTGGTGAGAGGGGTGGTGAGAGGGGTGGTGAGAGGGTTGGTGAGAGGAGTGATGAGAGGGGTGGTGAGAGGGTTGGTGAGAGGAGTGGTGAGAGGGGTGGTGATGGGGGTGGTGAGAGGGATGGAGAGGGGTGTTGAGAGGCATTATGAGAGGGGTGGTGAGAGGGGTGGAGAGAGGGGTGGTGGGAGGCGTGGTGAGGGGTGGTGGGAGGGGAGGAAGAACGCTGCCGAACCCATGTCGTGCACTATTGAATGCACTGCCCTTCACCCCTGGGTGCTCACCTTGTAATCCTTCTCCCAGTGCGGGTGGAAGAAGGTGAGAGGCGGGATGCCGATTCGTTGGAGGAGGAATAGGAGCATCATTCAACACATTTCGTCCACCAATGAACCGCCTTTCACCCATTGCCTCTCACCTTGTAGTCCTTCTCCCAGCGCGGGTGGAAGAAGGTGAGAGGGGGGATGCCGATCTCGGTGTCCTCCCACAGGTTGGCGGCCAGCACCAGCTTGGTCACGTGCTTCATCTCCGGCAGCAGCAGCAGCCGGTTGCCCCACTGCGACCCCTCTGACCGCCGGAAGTCCCACGAGCCCTGCCCCAGCACTATGAAGTGGTCCGCTCCGTTGCGCTTCTGCAGGGAGAAAAGAGACCAGCACAGGCACAGAAAGGCACAGATAGGTGCAGAAAGGTGCAGAAAGGTGCAGAAAGGTGCAGAAAGGATGCGCCTCAACTCAAGTCCCAAGAGCCCTGCCCCAGCAGTATCAAGCGGTCCGCTCCCCTGCACTTCTACACAACACAGGAAGGAGGAGCGCAAAGGCATCAGGCAGGCAGGTAGCACATAGTGCTGTACAACCAGGGCCCGCCTAGATTCGATAGCCTCACCAAGTGGCTCTTGCAAAGAGAGCGCTTCAAGACCGTTTCGGGCCTAAAAACACACTCAACTACGCACCTTGAAGTGCTCGCTCCTCATCAACCACACCTCCCTTGCCCTCACACCACACCTGTTCAAACTCCTGTACCTGACACTATGCACCTTGAAGTGCTCCCTCCTCATGAGCCACTTTGCGAGCCCGTCATGCATGCGATCACGGTCGTTCAGAGACGCATTCACCATCACACAGGGCAAAGCAGGGTGCACCACCACATACCATGCCAGACCACCTCTAACCGCTTCGCACCTTGAAGTGCTCCCTTCTCATGAGCCACTTGGCGAGCCCATCATGCATGCGGTCACGGTCGTCCAACGACGCGTTCTTGGCGAAGTGCCAGCGAGTCACGTCCAGGGAGGCGTAGAAAGGGATGAAGAAGAGGTCCGCTTTGTCTGGATCGCTCGTGATGCACTTGTACGCCTTGCGCAGCCTGTAGTGAAAGACCATCTCCAGGGCGTACTGGGAGGAGGGGCACATAGAGAATGGCAAAAAAGGCAGGGGAGAGAAGACGCGTAAAAGGGGATTAAGACGAGATCTGCTTTGTCCGGATCACTGTTAATGCACTTGTACGCCTTGCACAGGCGGTAGTGAAACACCATCTCCAGGGCGTACTGTCACACACACAGTGTAGGGAGAGATACAAGATAAAAGGGCATGAAGGACAGGTCCGCTCGCTCAGTGTCGCTGGTGCTGCCCTTGTATACCATGTGGAGCCAGTAGTGGGACACCACCTCCCGCAGGGCGCACTGAGAGGAGAGGGAGAGGGGAAGAGACTGGGGAAGGAGAGGGGAAGGGGCACGGGCTGTCAGGGCGATCAGGGTCGCTGGTTATGCCCTTGTATACCTTGCAGCGCCGGTAGTGGCCGGGGGGAGAGAAGAGAGCGAGGTGTCAAAGAGCTTGAGCAAGTGGCAGTTATGATCACCTCACGATGTTTGCAGTCTGAAATACAATCGATGGCATGCGCATTCGAGAGGGACTTATGCAGCTGTAAGACATGATGCAGTGCGGTGTGGTGTGGTGCAGTGCAGCGCGGTGCAGTGCATGCATACCATGTGCGTCTCGAACCATCGGCCAGAGGGTAGAAGCAGCTTGCTGTTGCGGATTCGGTTCCCCAAGCCATCGTTCTGTTTGCACATGGAGGCATGGGATTAGACATGAGGGCATGTAAGGGGGGCATGTAGAGGGGGGTATGCAGTTGGGGGCATGCAGAGGGGGGTATGCAGAGGGGGGCATAAGACATGCGATTAGACATGAGGGCATGCAGAGGGGGGAATGAGTGCAGGCAGGTGAAGAAGCAGAGTAACAGAGAGGCGCACACACGCCCATACCCCTCAAAACCCGCACGATTCAACCCAACACCCACACAAGAGATGCACCTGGAAGTGCGGGCAGATGGAGAACCAGGGCAGCAGAGTGGCGCACTGCTCCACACATGCTCAACACCCCTCAGAACCCATACCCCTTAACGCCGAAACACCCATACATACCCCACCCACCCACACAGGGGCGCACCTGGAAGTGCGGGCAGATGGAGAACCAGGGCAGCAGCGTGGCGCATTGCTCGACGAGCCCGCGGTTGTACGCCTGAGCCAGCTTGTGAATGTACACTGTGCGCCCCCGACACCCCTCCACGTCTATCGGCTCTCCCACTGGATCGGCTGCCACTGCTGCCGCCTCCGCTTTCTGCGAAGGGGAGCAGATCAGGAGGGAAAGAGAGGGGGAAGGGGAGAAGGGGGCAATGGGAGAGGGGGAAAAGGAGAGCCGGCTTGTGGATGAACATGTTGCGCCCCCGACACCCCTCCACGTCTATGCGCTCTCCCACTGGATCCGCTGCCACTGCTGCCGCCTCCGCTTTCTGGGATGAGACACGGGAGGAAGAGGAAACGGGTGGAGCGGAGTGGGAGAGAGGGACGGGGGAGAGGGGGAAGGGCCAGCTTGCGGAGGAACACCGTGTGTCCCCGACACCCCTCCACGTCTATCGGTTCACCCACCAGATCCGCCGCTACCGCTGCTGCCTCCTCCGCTTTCTGGAGGAGCGATGAGATGAATAAGTGCGGGATTTGCGGGCTCAGGAGGGAAGAGGAAGTAATGTCAAAAGGGGAGGTGTCAATGGAGAGGGGCGAAGGGCGAGATTTGAAGGTCGAGGCATGGATGAAGGTTGAGGGGTTAAGGGCGAGGGGTTAAGGGCGAGGGGTTAAGGGCGAGGGGTTAAGGCAAGCAGATGAAGAGCAGGAGGTGCGATGCGGCGGCAAGAGAAAGGGACCAGTGAGCGGATTGCAAGTGCTCACCACTTCCTTGGCAGTGACGCGACCGACTGCTGGCTCATGTGAGGGACAGCAGGAACACGTTTGACATACAAAGGACACCGGCGAGAAGAAAGAGGAAAGGCAGCGCTCACCACTTCCTTGGCAGCGACCGACTGCTGTTCAGACGAGCCCGCACTCTCCACAGTGGCCTCCCCACCCCCGCTGCTGCCACTCTCCCCCTCACTGCCAGCACCGTCGCCATCACCAGCAGCACTGTCATCTGCAGGCCCAGCCCCTTCGTCCTCCTCCCCCGCTCCTTCTCCACTGCTATGCGAGCCCTCCTCCTCCTCCTTCGCCTCCTTTTCCTCTTCTTTCTCCTCCTCGTCCTCCTCGTCTTCTTTCTCCCCCTCCTCATCCTGCGCTTTCTTCCCGCTGCCTGTACCTGCTTCACTGCGTCCCTTCTTCCCTTCCTTCCCACCCCCTTCCTCCTCATCATCCTCTTCATCATCCTCCCCGTCCTCCTCATACTCGCTCTCACCCTTATCCCCTGCCTTCTTCTCCTTCTTGCCTCCCGCTTCCCCCTCTCCACTCCCCTCCTCACTCTCCTCCTCATCCCCCTTTTGCCCTCCCTCACTCTTCCCTCCCGCGTCCTTCTCATCCTTCTCCTCCTCCTCCTCCTCCTTCTCCTCCTTCTCCCCCTTTTCCTCGTCACCCTCATCACCATCCTTCCCATCCTCATCCTCATCCTCCTTCCCTTGCCCCACACTCGCCTTCACCTCAGTCCTCTTCTCCTCTTCTGCCCCTGGCCGATCAAGAACCACTCCCTCCTCCCCAAACACACCGCTGCCATGCGGTATCTTCTCAGGCAAGTGCTCATGCTCCCTCTCAGGGAATGGCTGAGGCTCCCTCTCAGGGAATGGCTGAGGCTCCCTCTCGGGAAACTGCTGCTGATGATCCCTCTCGGGGAATGGCTGCGGCTCCTTATCGGGATACGCCTGCCCACCCTGCCCTGCTTCTCTCCCTGCCTCCCCACCCACAGCAGCAGCAGCAGCAGCGGTCGCACCTCCTTCCCCAGTAGCAGCAGCAGTGGCGCCACTGCCAGCAGCAGCATCAGCAGCGTGACCTCTGGCTCTCTCCGCTTGTGCTACGTCCAGCTGGAACGCCTGCAGGCAGGCATGCGCACACACACCCACAGAAAAGAATGGGCGGTGACGAGTGCATTTCAAGCATGGAGCACATTTCCAGCAGAGAGCCAAGGCAAGAAACGTTGCATTGTAGACATGGAAAACCAGGGTGGGGGACGAAAGAGTGCTCCTTCCTGCTACGCGTTACTCCACTCCATCTCACCTGCTGTCGGGTCAACTGCTGCGCCGATGCAGGGTGTGCGTGGTCCTCCTGCCTTGCTAGCTCCAATAAGCTCGCCTCGTCCTCGCCCCCGCCTGCTGTGACTGCTGATGGTGGAATGGACGGAGTACGGATGGCATGATGGCATGGTGACATGAAAATGGGGTGAAAGGAAGATCCGCCATGACATGATGGCGAGAGGACATGATGGCAAGGCATGATGGCATGATGGCTGTTGGATGGAATTATGAGATTAGGGCATGGCATGATGGCGCGATGGCATGACAACACAATATGATGACATGATGGCAGTTGGAATTGTGACACGATATCATGGCATGATGGCGTGATAACACAACGTGATGAAACGCTGGCATGATGACATGGAGGCACGATGACACAGTCACATGATGGTGTGGGGGCATGATGCCACCATGGTTTCAAAGAGTTAACTCTACGTTCTCGAACCAGCTTCTGTTTTCATGCCTTCCCGTCCATCCTATGCCTCCTTCCCTCATCCTGTGTCCTCCTCGCCACAACCTCTCCCTCTCACATCCCTGCCCCCTCTCCGTCCCTTGCGCTCCCACCACACCACTTCTCTCCACCCGTCACTCCCTCCTCGCCATTCCTCTCCCCCTACTTCCACTCCTCTCCTCTGCCCCACCATCCCCTCCCACCGCCCTTTCCTCCACCCCTCTCCATTCCTCTCGTCCACTCAATTATCCCTATTAACCCACCCCTTCCCTCCTCTTCTCTCTTCCCCCAAGGACTCACAGTGCGTGGTGTGCCCGGCAACAGGCTGAGCTGGTTCCTGTGCCGTTGGCTTGGTCTCGGTGTGTGCGAGCTGGGGGCCAGCCAGGTGGGGGTGTGGATGAGAGAGGCGGAATGAGGGAATACTGCAAGCATCGTAGGATTGCATAATACGTACACTGCAGCATTGCGTAAATGACAGCATTAGGTTGCATACACTCTGTAGAACGAAACTGCACGGCCTGGTTTTGTCACTCTTATCTATGAACTTTTAACAAGTGACCTAAAGCTGCTCGCCAACCAAGTGTACAGTTTTTGAAATACTCAAGAGTAAGACTTCCCCGCCTGCCACTCAAGCAGCTACGCGCGCACAAACAAGTCACGTGCATTAAGCGTGATATCACCGTAAAAAGGCGAGCGGCACTTTCACGTACGTGTTCTGTCGCTTCAACCGCTGGGCCGACCGTGGTGCCCTTGGTGATGTCCGACCCGCCTGCATTGCATCGCATAGGCGCAATACGGGTGGACGAACGGCCGGAAACAACGTCGGAGGAACAGAGGGAGCGTCGTGATCAAGATAATGCGGGAGGAGTTTGAGCGGGACGAAAAGGGGAGAATGGCACAGACGACAACGGGATGGCGAGGACACGCCGACCTCCCTCGCACTCTCATGGAGAACGCTGGAACGCGCAACACCTTACAGCGGAGCCGCAATCTGCAACGCCACAAAAGCTGCTTAAACCATTTTCCAGTCGGCTGATCCATACGCACTACCGTTACCGCTGGCACCGCAGGGGCATGGTGCGTCAGAATGAAACACTCAGTGTCTCGATGCTCCAGACGACGCTCCAGACGACGGCATTGCTGACTACAGATTACGAATGCGGTTCGTGATGGAGATAAGTTCCTCCTGATACATGACGAGAAAGGAAAAGGTAGTGACTTACTCTGATTGGTCGGACGCGACGGTCTCGCGAGCATGACGATGAGAATGACCGCTGCGACGGTGAACATGGCGACCTGTGCGACGAACTGTCGCCGCTTCTGCGCCGCCGATCGCGGAGCGAAAATGGAATCCGACTTCCGCTTGGCCTCGTCGTGGTCCGATCCGTCAGGCGATTGCCTCCCGCCTGTGGCGTGGCCTCGTCGCACGTCCATCGCTGCGACTGTACGACACTACCGATTGTAACGAAATGATGAAAAACGCGAGAAGATAGGGTTGAATCACTTCGGCTATCACAGCATCATCATCCCTGAGTGAAAGACCCGCGGAAATGAGAACGTTTGAAGTGTTTGAGAAGTGGTCAGGTCAGATGGCGGAGGAGAAAGAAACTTGGGAAGGGGAGGTTCAACCTTGGGAATTCCGTTTTGCTGGCCGACGAGAGAATCTGGAATCTGAAAAAATGGCGGGGAGGGGGAAAGCAGACCGGGAATCTACTTCGCCATTTGTTCGTCTACTGGTTTCGCTTCCGCTTCTCACCGCGTAAATGTAACACGCTCCTTTAGACCTTCGCTGCGCTAAGGGAAATAAGCACATGCTGTACATTTCACGTATACTATACTCTTTGTTTTGGTTACCGGCTGTAACATATATATTGTATTCTCGAACTGACGACATGCGTCCACAAGGTGTCAGAAACAGAATATACCCCGAACATGCTAGCTCTTTTCAGTATCTGGCTTCGGGACTAAGCGTAAGCGGCGTGGCTCCTTATACCTAACTTGGGAAACCAGGAAGAAATCAAGACTATCATACGAGGCACACGTTGTTTCGCCGCTTTATGACTTTTTAAAAGTAGAGGTCTGCAAGCATGAATCAAGAGGAGCAAAATGGCGGCGAAGAGTCCGTTTCTGCGGTGTATATGCGGGTACGCAATCACCGGCGTTACGGATTCCGTGTTTCAAGGCTAAGTTTAGCATCGTCTGGGATTCGCGAGATGGGTAGATGTACGCAGCTGCATGTTATAGTAGGACACAGGTGCTGTTATAGTAGGAAATCGTTTACCGCTTAGGTGTTGTGTTGTTCCACAACATTGACTCTTCCTATCCCCTTTTCTTGCACTGTTCGTCACCGTGACGCTTAGGGTTTCTCAATTACTCCGCTTATCTCCCCGCTTAGCCGTGTATGCCGTTTGGAGCTCATAGAGTTGACTGAGAAGAATGGAGGGCCTTATTTTTCGAGTTCTCGCAAAGGCTCGTCTGTGACAACAACACCTTCAAAATCGAAGTCGCTCCGGAATTCTCGCCTAGCAACGCGTGGTTTGCTTTGGAGAGGCTTATGCAGCCCGTATTAAGAATTTATACGAGAATGCTTGCCACAACCTCAGCGTCTACAGCCTTTCGCTTTCAGGGGGGGAGATGGTTTGAAGCGGAGGAGCGGGAAGCGAGGGAGCGGGAAGCGGGAGGAGAAGGCAGATGGAGTGGAAAGCGGATTAGGTGTTCTCCCTTCCATCCTCATGAGCAAGGGAAGCGGCAGCTGGTGACAAAGAGGAACACGAGGGAGCGGGAGTACCTGACTCGCATACATAAGCCCACGGTTACGTGCGGATTTTACACTGCCACGTGTCACCTGCCACCTGTCACCTCTCACGGGTTATCGGTCTGTGTCCCCGACTCCCCGTGTGTTCCTCTGAGCAGGAGCGGCAGGAGCGATTGCTGATGATGAAGCGCAAGAACATGGAGCAGCGCGAAGAGCTGGCCGCACTCACATATAAGTCCACTCGTCCCCTGGCCCACTCGTCGACTGGTCACACCTCTCACCTGTCAAGGGTCACCTGTGCCTGTCACCGTGTGTTCCTCTGAGCAGGAGCGGCAGGAGAGGATGCTGATGATGAAGCGCAAGAACATGGAGCGCGAGGAGAAGGAGGGCCGCCCATCAGCGCGCCAGAGGCGAGCCGCTGACGGCGCTGGCGCTGGATTCGGTGGTGGTGGCGGTGGGGGTGGTGGTGGGGGTGGGGGTAACGGGTACCATGGAGAGGGTGGCGGGTCGGAGCACCGAGCGTCTGCGGGTCAGAGGAGGCCGTCCTGTGGGCCCCTTCCTGATGGTACGTGCTTTTCTGTTCAGTTCTGCGTGATGGTACGTCCCGTAACCCATTCAGGGTATGACCGACTCAAAAGCACCCCTGCGTGATAGTCTGTTCCAATCGGCCCAGAAACCTTCAATTTTCCCCCAATTGGAGATGACCAGTGAGTCTGTCTCGTTTTTGGCTGCTACTGCTAGGAGAGGCGTTTAGAGACCTAGTGGAGCGGGGCAACCCCCCCTTTTCTTCCTCCTCCTGTCGTTTTTCCAACGTTTTTTTGTTCTCCTGCTTCCTCCCCACGAGGGTGGATTGCGTGCCCTTCTATGGGCGAGGCCATGGGGCTGCTGATCCCCGTCATGTGCGTAGGCATGTGCATTTGGACGAGTTTTAAATCTCGACTCGTTTCCTGCACTCGTCTAGGGACGAGTGACGAGTGCGATGATCGGCCGGAAAAACTCGGCCGATGCGAGCCGAGTTTCATTTCACTCGAAGTTTTTTTTCAAACTCGTTGGAGACTCGCGCACGCTGCGTGGGTTTTTATTGGACTCGCGAGTTTCAGAAAGAAGTCGCCGCGACATTTGGGGAGGTGCCTCATATGACAGAAAAACGAACATTACAGTATTAGGCTTCTGTTTTAGAAGCATCCTTCCAACGTGTCGCGGCCTAATAGCTATTCGTAATCAGCGTCTGCCTCCGACACAGCCAAACGAGTGGTGTTTTTTCGATACATGTGTTTGTAATGGGAAGTTGATTTCATGTTAGACGCAATGTTGTTGGATTGCAAACAATCTGACGCTGGAAAGACGTTCACGATGGAAGGTAAGACGAATCACTGTTTAGTATCTTCAGCAGATATTAAGCAATGTTTCGTATCACCTTCCATCGTGTATGTTTTGCCAGCGTCAGTTTGCCATGCGATCCAACAACATAACGCTTCATTTAAAAACAGATAAAGTTTCCGTTGCTTCTGTTCGGCTCGCCGGGTTTTTTGTAAAGCACTCGGCGAGTTTCATAAAGATCGTTCATTATGGACTGAGTGCCGAGTCCACCCCCAAGCTAAATCGGAAAAAAAAATCGGTCGAGTCCTGACCAAGACGAGCCGAGTTTTACTCGGTCGTCTGTTTGCACGTCTACCCGCCAAGGTGCCGCTGGGGGAGGCGTCTAGAGAGCTGGTGGAGCTGGAAAGACCAGCCTGTATATCCACCTGTCCTTGATTTGATATGATTTGATCTGATTTGATCTGATCTGATCTGTCTACTCCTTTTGTTTTCCTGCTCTCTTGTCCCCTGAGGGTGGCTCGACTGTCCCTCTATGGGCGAGGCCATTGGGATGCTCATCCCCGCCAAGGTACCGCTGGGGAAGGCGTTCAGAGAGCTGGTGGAGCCGGGTAACCCTTCCCCCCCTCCACCTGTGTGTATTTTCTGACGTCTTTCTTTTTGCCCTCCGTCTTCCTTACCCCCCTCAGGGTGGCTCGACTGCCCGTCTATGGGCGAGGCCATGGGGCTGCTCATCCCCTCCAAGGCGCCACTGGGGTAGGCGTTCAGAGAGCTGGTGGAGCCGGGCGGGCATCAGCTTTTCTTTTCCCAACTGTAAATACCCCCCTCAGGGTGGCTCGACTGCCCGTCTATGGGCGAGGCCATGGGGCTGCTCATCCCCTCCAAGGCACCGCTGGGGGAGGCGTTCCGAGAGCTGGTGGGGCCGGGCAAGCGGTGGACGCCGGAGGTGGCTCTCCGGCACACGCGGAGCATGAAGAAAGACGTAAGTGGCGGTGGTGTGGGGGATGTTGGGGGTGGTGTGGTGGCGGTGAGGACGGAAGGGGATTGTATGGAGTTAGCAGGCTCGCAAGTGGACACGGCACGCAAGCAGAGGACGCCCGAAGTGGCGCTCAGGCAGACGCGGAGCATGAAGAAAGACGTAGGTGGCGTGGGGGTGGTGTTGGGGGTGGTGGTGATATGGGGAAGAGAGAGCTTGTGTGTATGTAGTAAGGGATGTGTTGTGTGAGCAGGCAAGCAGAGGTCGCCTGATCTGGCGCTCAGGCAGACGCGGAGCATGAAGAAAGATGTAGGTGGTGTGGAGATGGTGTGGGAGGGAACGGAGCGAATGTGTTTATGTAGTGAGAGGGCTGTGACACAGCCGCTGTGTGAGTGGGCAGTCGTCGTTTGACGAGCCCGACGAAAGATGTGGTGGAGAGGAGGAACAGAGAGAGGTGATAGAATTCAAGAGGATGATTAGTAATGAGCCAACAAAGCTCTATAATACAAGCATGCAAGGAAGAGAAGGGTGGAGGAGGAGCTAACCCTATTGGCCACTAAGTTGGCCAAAGGGTGAGGTGTCTTGTGGAGTAGGAAACTTCACAATGTAGCTAGGTTGGGATTGGTTGGTCTAAGGACCAAAAGTTGGCAAGTGCCAACCAAGGGCCAAGATCAAATCCAACCTTGACCAACCACAAAGTGTGGTTGGAGTGTACACCCAACCCCCCAAGAACCTAAAGGACTACACCCATTCTAGCCTATGAATGTTGTATATAGTATACAATTACAACAAGAGGAGGAGGGGAGAGGGGAAAGGTAGGGGGGGGGGAGGAGAGATGGGGGGAGTGGAGGGAAGGAGAAAGGGATTTGGGGAGAAATGCGTGAGCGTGAGTTGAATACCACCAACATTGCAGTGGCATCTCCGGTCATTTTCTGCCCGCCTTTGTTTGCTTTTCCGTTTAGCCCTTGTACCATCTTTGCGCACGCAGGTGGCCTGGGATTTCCTGAGATCTCCCTAAAGCATGTTGAGTGTGCTAAAAAATATATCTGCTCTGTTCTGCCCTTGTTTCCTTGCGACTCTCTTCTCTCGTGTGTGATGTGATGTTCACGAAGTTCGCACGTCGGTGGGTGGGTGGGGCTGGCCTTGTGATCGGCCTCACCTCATCAACACTACTGCCACACGCGCTACTGTTTTTGAGGAACCTCAAAAGCCGTCTCTCTTCTCTCTTTTGAAGCTACTATCTTTGAGTCTACTCAAGAATGCCGTTGCTTCATTGCAACTCTCCTCTCGTGTGTGCGATGTGATGTTTGGAACTTAGCAGGTGGGGCTGGCCGCTGGTGATGAGATCACTTTTGCGAATTTCCAAAAGTGAATGCAACTCTCCTCTCGTGTGTGCGATGTGATGTTCGCGAACTATCTTCGCACGTGGGTGGGGCCGGTGATTGATCCGTTTTTGAGTTGGTGGGTGGGGCTGGTGATTTATCGACCTCACCAACACCACGCGCTACTACAACCCAAAAGGCTGGTCGAAGCTTTATGAGCCGACTCAAAGAGTATCTCTGGCCCGACTCCTGTCCGGCCTTTCTTCCTTGCGTGGCTCCCTTTTCTCATGTGACGATCACACGTGGGGCTGGTGATTGTCCGACCTCACCAACACCACGCACGCGCTACTACAACCCAAAGACTGCTCGAAGCTTCTTGACGTGACTCAAAAAGTATCTCTGTTCCGCTCCCGCCCGCCCTTGCTTCTTGCGCGGCCCTCTTCTCTCGTGTGTGTATGTGATGTTGGCAGGTGGGTGGGGGCTGGTGACCAATCAACCTGACCAACACCACGCGCTACAACAACCCAAAAGACTGGTCGAAGCGTCTTGTTTGACTCGACTAAAAAGCACAACCGGCCCGCTCTTGCTTCCTTTTGAGGCGCCTCAAAAATCTTCTGGTTTGACTCGACTAAAAAGCATAGCCGGGCCGCTCTTGCTATTTTTGAGGCGCCTCAAAAAAGCGTCTTGTTTGACTCGACTAAAAGGCATAGCCGGGCCGCTCTTGCTATTTTTGAGGCGCCACAAAAAAGCGTCTTGTTTGACTCGACTAAAAAGCATAGCCGGGCCGCTCTTGCTATTTTTGAGGCGCCTCAAAAAAGCGTCTTGTTTGACTCGACTAAAACGCATCACCGGCCCGCTCTTGCTTCCTTGCGCGGCTCTCTTCTCTCGTGTGCGACGTGATGTTGGCATGGCATGGCAGGTGGGGATGGTGGTCGACCTGACCAACACCACGCGCTACTACAATCCAAAAGACTGGGCGAAGTTCAACGTGAAATACGTCAAGGTGAGAGAGCAAGGCATGGCAGCACGTGGTGCAGCGAGAGAGCAAGGCATGGCAGCACGTGGTGCAGCGAGAGAAGTAGAAGTTGAAGCATCAGAAGCCTGGCGGCAAGGGTACGGTGGTGTCAAGTAAATTGGCAGGAGCCGATGTTGATACAGGTGGGAGAAGTGCATGAATGAATGAATGAATGAATGAACGAACGAACGAACGAGCGAGCGAGCGAGCGAGCGAGTGATTGAGTGAGTGGGTGAGAATGAATGAATGAGGGTGAGGAAGGCAATGAAGCTACATATGTGAAGCTAAGCAGATGAGGGTGGGTAACGCACGCACACACCCACACAGTCTGGTAGAGAGGGAGCGAGGCAGAGCAACGTGGATGTGTTGCTCCTTCAATCACCAGTCCTGCCTTGCCATGCATGGGTACCTACCACCCACCCACCCATGCCTTGCCGTGCATGGGTACCACCCATGCCTTGCCTGCCTCATATCACTCCTGCCACATGAGCACATACATTTGCTGCCTTCTCTGCGTCTTTCCCCCTGCTCTGCATCTCCCACCTCCCTGTCTGTCTGTCAATGCGTCCCTCACCTTGCCTTGTCTTGTCTTGCCTTCTCGTGTGTACCACGGCCACCAGCTGGCCTGCAGGGGTCGGGACGAGGTGCCAGGCGATGAGAGGGTCAACCGCTTCTGAGGCGCCGCATAAACAGTCTGTCTATGCGTCTCTCACCTTGTCTTGCCCTGTCTTTCCGTGTCTCACCTTCTCGTGTGTACCACCACCGCCACCAGCTGGCCTGCAGGGGTCGAGACGAGGTGCCAGACGATGAGACGGTCAACCGCTTTGTCTATGTGGTGAGTATTGCCCCTCTTCTATGTCGCTCCCGTACCTTGTGTGCGGCGGAGGCCACCAGCTGGCCTGCAGGGGTCGGGACGAGGTGCCAGACAATGAGACGACAACCGCTTTGAGACAACACCCTCCCTGTGGTGAGTGCCCTTCCTTCCCCTTCCTCCACCCTCCCTTGTCTATGAGACAACACTCCTCTAACCACATTTGCCTGGCCCACAACAAGTGTCCCGTAAGTTTGGCTGCTGCACTGCACGGCACTACCTCTCCAATTCCACCTTGCACACCCCTTCCCCCGTCCCCCACCTGCACCCCCCATTCCTCGGTCGGGGGCCGGGGAATGGGCTTTTCTTGCCCCATCCCATTCACCGGGCCTGCACCAGCACCACCTCTCCAAGTACCTGTTCCCTATTCAGATGCTGTGCCTTTCTCGCCCCACGAAGCAGTGGAATAGTGAGGCGAGTATTCTTGTCGGCGCTCAAGTGCATCGTGCTGCACTGCACTGCACTGCACTGCACTGCACTGCTTAGTGGGAATATACGCTTATTGCGTATATACGCTTATCGTATATACGCAATCTTATATACTCTATACGCTGTAGGGACGGGTTTGGAAATCCGCTTTTTCGGGCAGGAAAAAAACTTCCCGGGCAGGGTGAAAAACAATGTCGCGCTCAACATCGGGAAGGTATTCCGTATTTTCATTAAGAATTTCGTAGCATTCTCCTAAGTCTGAACTTCGATTAGGGTGGGATGTGTAGTAGACACTATCGCTAGAAGGAAAAGTAGGAATCGGGATGAGCTCTGTTGGGAAGCGGGAAATGTCGAGTGCAGTTGGGCTGGCTGGTTAGTAGCATGAGTGGGGTTTGTTGGGGGAACGTTTTTGACAGGTTGGAGTTCGTAGATGGGATGGTTTTCAATGTGGTACTACTCAAAATTGTAGATCTGAACTGCCAGACGCGATTGTAAGGCACATTCCCGCTTCCCTACATCCCCGAATTGCACCTCGACTTCGGCGAAATGCTCACCAGGAGATTCCGCATCTTTCCGTATACACACGATTTTTTTCCCGGGCAGCCCCTAAAAAACTCTGAAAGCGTATAGCGTATTAGCTAGCGTATAGCGTTTTGCGTATGAACGCAAGCGTATATACGCTATACGCTTTAGGTTCTGAGCGTATATTCCCACTAAGCTGCACTGCACTGCACTGCACTGCACTGCACTGCGCTCCAACACCAATTCCTTGCCCCTCCCCTCGTCCCCCTTCCCTCACCCCTTCTCTCTCTCTTGCCGGGCGCTGGACTTCATGCGCGCCACAGAGCGAAAGAAATGCATCGTGGTGCACTGCCACTCCAATACTTATTCTTCTCCCTGCCCCTCCAATACTTATTCTTCTTCCTGCCCCTCCAATACTTATTCTTCTCCCTGCCCCTCCAATACTTATTCTTCTCCCTGCCCCTCCAATACTTATTCTTCTCCCTGCCCCTCCAATACTTATTCTTCTCCCTGCCCCATCCAATACTTATTCTTCTCCCTGCCCCTCCAATACTTTTTCTTCTTCCTGCCCCTCCAATACTTATTCTTCTCCCTGCCCCTCCAATACTTATTCTTCTCCCTGCCCCTCCAATACTTATTCTTCTCCCTGCCCCTCCAAAACTTATTCTTCTCCCTGCCCCTCCAATACTTATTCTTCTCCCTGCCCCTCCAAAACTTATTCTTCTCCCTGCCCCTCCAATACTTATTCTTCTCCCTGCCCCTCCAATACTTATTCTTCTCCCTGCCCCTCCAATACTTATTCTTCTCCCTGCCCCTTTTCCCCTTCCCTCATCCCTGGCGCTGGACACGTGCCCTGCCCACCCACCTCTCGCCAGGCGCTGGACTACATGCGCGCCACAGAGCGCAAGAAGAGCATTGTGGTGCGCTGCACTGCTCCTTCAACAACTGCTCTTTCCCTGTTCCCCTTCCCCTCCCATGGCCTGCCAGGCGCTGGACTTCATGTGTGCGATGGAGCGCAAGAAGAGCATCAATGTGCACTGCCGTTCCAACACATATTCCTTGTCCCGTCCGCCTTCCCCTCCCCTCTCACGGCAGGCGCTGGACTACATGCGGGCAACGGATCGCAAGAAGAGCATCATTGTGCACTGCACTGCCCCTTCAAAGTCCCTCTCTCTCTCCCCTTCCCCCCATCCCTCGCACTCTCTCCGCACTCTCTCACGGCAGGCGCTGGACTACATGCGGGCAACGGATCGCAAGAAGAGCATCATTGTGCACTGCACGCACGGGCACAACCGCACGGGCTTCATGATCGTCCACTTGCTCATGCGCGCCATGGGGGGCCACGTGGCAGAGGTATGAGTATGAGTCATTACTGCTGGATAGGGGGGTATGCACAAGGAGTACGAGTCATTATTCTGCTCCGTTCTGCTGCTCCTTTCTGCTGCTCCTTCCACAATGGATTCTGCAACTCATACCCACTGTTGTCCATCCATTCATTGTCTTCCCCATACCCGTCCCCGGGGCATATACAATACAATACAAGGGTTCAGCCAGGCGCTCCTCTCATTGTTCGACCAGCTGTCTTCCCGGCGCCTTAAACCCCACCCATGTTTCGCCCTTCTTATTTCACCCACTCACCAATGCAAAGGCTAGCAAAATCGACAGAGGCACGCCCTCCAGGCATATACAAGAAGGAGTACATCCAATCACGAGCGCTGCTGCTTGCCTCTACAGCACTTGAGACATACTCATTTCTGTCCGTCTAACTTGTCTTGTCTCCCGGCCCCACAAATGCTGCAGAGGCTAGCGGAATTCACAGAGGCACGCCCTCCAGGAATATACAAGGAGTACATCCAGGCCCTCTTCTCCTTCTACTACCACCATCCCTGCTCCCTCCCAGCCGTTTCACACCCACCTGTCCATCCATCCTCCCCTCCCTCCCCCACACCAATGCAGAGACTAGCGGAATTCGCAGAGGCGCGCCCTCCAGGAATATACAAGGAGGAGTACATTCAGTCGCTCTTCACCTTCTACCATGAGCGGCGCCCCGAGGCGGTGCTCTGCCCGCCCACGCCCGAGTGGAAGGCCACCTTCGACCTGGACCTGGATCTCAACGTGGCCCTAGAGATGGACGAGGAGGAGGCGGTTGAGAAGACAAGTGGTGGGGATGATGGCAATGAGGAGTGCGGCGCTGCTGTGCTGCCCGAGCCGGTGAGTGAGTGGAGTGGATCACACGAGCAGCCAGTAAGAGTGGAAGGCCACGTTTGACCTGGCTGGACCTGGATCTCAACGCGGCTCTAGAGATGGACGAGGGGGGGCTGAGGGGTCGGGAGGAAGGGGAGGAGATGACGGGAATGAGGAGTGTGGCGCTGCTGTGCTGTCAGAGAGCCGGTGTGTTGATCATATGAGCAGCTGGTGAGTCTGTCTGTCGCTCTCTTGAGGGCCCACCCCACCTCGCCCTGTGGGTGCCGCCACACCTGAGTGGAACGCCACGGGTGACCCGGACCTGGATCTCAACACTTGTTTTATCACATCACAGAGCTGGTGAGTGCATCAGACAAACAGCCAGTACATATGGTGTTCTTCCAAGGGCAGGGCCCACCCGCCCATCCCCCCCAACCCTCACCTCACCCTGTGGGTGCGCTCACGCCCGAGTCGAGTGGAAGGCCACGTTCGACCTGGACCTCGACCTCAACGTGGCTCTTGTTATGGAGTATGGGCGATGAGGACGCGGGTGAAGGGGCAGGGGAGAGGGGAGGGATGACGGAAACGAGGAGTGTGGCTCTGCCATGCTGCCAGAGAGAACCGGAGAATTTGGTGGGCAAAGAGGGGGTGTGTGGTGTGGGTGGCGAAAGGTGCAAGCAACTCAAGGTAGATGGGGGGATATGGGTGAGAGGAGGCTCAGGCAGGTTGGAAAGGTGGTGGTTCTGCCGATAAGCATCCATTCATTGGCGTGGTTTCCAGTCTCTCCGTGTGCTGTTATTTCTGTTTTGAGTCGACTCAAAACACGTGCTGTTGATAAGCTCATCCTTTTATTGGCGTTATTTCCAGTCTCTCCGTGTGCTGCTGCTATTTCTTTCCGCTCAAGGGGCAACCAACCAAGGAGGAGGAGGGTAAGAAGAAAATGACCATGTGTTGGGATTGGCTGGTAGATGTGATGTGCTCAAGGGTTCTCATGTCTGCCTTCACCATGTCTGCCTTCACCATGTCTGCCTTCACCATGTCTGCCTTCACCATGACTGCTCTTTCCGTTTTTCTTCTCCCAGGAGGCGGGCAAGGAGGAGGAGGGCAAGAGGAAGATGACGATTGACGATGTGCTGGGGTCCGCGATACCGGAGGAGCAGCAGTGGGAGCTGCAGCAGATCGTGTGCTCGGGGCTCAAGTCGGTACGTGCAGCGAGGGGTGTGCAGAGGGGTTGGGATTGGTGAAATTTGTTGGGATTGGGGAATCGGGAGTTGGCCTTGCATGAGGGGAGGGGGGAGAGCGAAGAGAGGAGAGGGGAGAGGGAAGAGGACAGAGAGGAGCCGCCAAGTATGTACGAAGAGGCGAAACTCCACGGTGTCACTTTCACCCCTCCGTACATACTCGGCTCCTCTCAGTCCTCTTCCCTCTCCCCTCTCCTCTCTTCCCTCTCCCCTCTCCTCTCTTCGCTCTCCCCTCTCACCTCCAGTATTCTATCCGCTAACCTGTCCTCTTTTTCCTTCTATTGTGTGCTCATCTCAATCTCACCCCCACCTCCTGCTTCCCCCCATGTACCCATTATTTCATTCCTCAATTCCGCCATTTTCTCAATTAAACTTGCGCCATTTCCCAGGTTTCTCATCTTGAGTTCCTTCAAAAGTAGTTCCCATTTTCACCTCCTCCCACTCCTCATCCTCCTCCAGAACAATTTCCGGCACTTCCCCGGCTCGCAACCAGTCTCACTGGATCTGTAAGCTGCCTGTCTCTCACCGTCCCTCCCTTCCCTTCTCCACCTCGCCCCCTCTGTTGAGCCGCTTCAACTTCAAGGTTCGAGTTTCGAGACGCCGCTCGCAACCAGTCTCGCTGGACCTGTAAGCTTTGGGTCTCTCACCGTCTTTCCCCTCCCAACCTTAATCCCTCTGTTAAGGAGTCTCAGGGTTTAAGATCTCGGGTTTAGGGTCAGGTAGGGTTGGGTCGACCCGCTCCGGTCGGGGCAAAGGCTCAAGCCTATGCTTCGGATCGCTCTGCACATTTCACATCAATCATGCTTCGAGGAGGAGCCCCTTAGAGATTGGTTAGAAATGGGGTCTTATGTCACTGTAAGAGATGAGCCGCGTCCCTTGTGCCTGTCCTATTTCTCCCTTCTCTTCGTGTGTGCGGTCTTTTGAATCTCTACTGGACTTCACACATTTTCCTCTTGTGGGCTACCCAACACAGCAAGAACCTTTGACGCTATCCCTACGCTACCCACCCACTTTCCACGTGTGGCATTGCTGATGCAGCAAGAACCTGCAGCTGCTGCGGCAGCGGCTGTACTATGTGACATGGAAGGCCGATGGCACGCGCTACATGATGCTCATCTGCCCTGACGGCTGCTACCTCATCGACAGGTGTGCTCGCATGGACAGACAGACAGGTGGTGCTTGCAAGCACAGGTGCTTCAGCTGATAGGGACTGTCTTGTTCCGCGGTACATGATGCTCATCTTGCCCGATGGCTAACACCTCATTGACAGGTGTGCTTGCGTTGACAGGTGTGCTTGCGTAGGTGTGCTTGCGTTGAGACGTGTGCTATGCGTTGCAGTCTGGCCATCACATCATAAACACCCCAGTGGCTTCAACAACCACCACCACCCCCCTCCCCTCCCCCCCCTCCTCCTCTCCCCCACTTCTCAAATATCCACGCAGCCTTGTCAGTAGGGACTCTCATTTGACTAGTTGTCGCATGCACATGCATTGGCTGCAGAAAGATGCCACGCGATTGAGTGCGCTCTTGCACGTTACACCCACTCCCTCATCTATCCGCCTTCAACTTCCTTCTTTCTTCTCCCATTTTCAGGAACTTCCGGTTCCGGCGAGTGCAAATGAGATTCCCGGCGCGCAAGCACCTACAGCACAAGCCGGTGGACGATTGGGACGTGCACCGCACCACACTGCTGGACGGGGAGATGGTGGTGGATGAGCTGCCCGGCACTGGCGTGCAGGAGAGGCGCTATTTGATCTACGACCTCATGATGCTTGACAGCGTGCCGCTGGGGGATGTGAGTCAAGAGGGGGGGCGCGGGGGATGTGAGTGGTGGGTGGGGGTGACTGTGACACGCAGCACTGGCCGGCTGCTCCAACACGCACTGGCGTGCAGGAGCGGCGCTACCCCATCTACGACCTCATGATGCTTGACAGCGTGCGGCTGGGGGATGTGATTGGCAGGGCGGGGATGTGCGTGGTGTAGGGGTGGTGGGGGGAAGTGACAGGTGTGTGTGCGGTGGGAGAAGCACAGCACAGCAACGGTTGCTGTGGCACACAGTGCATGGCAGGAGCGTGGCTACCTCATTTACGATCTCATGATGCTCAACAGCTTGCTGCTGGGGGATGTGAGTTGAGAGAGGGAGGGGGTCCCAGGGAATTTGAGTGGCGTGTGGTGGGGCGATTGAGGCACCTGACACTGGTCGCTGGGTGATTTGAGTCGACTCAAAAGGCACATGACTCCGTTCGAGGAGCGGTTTCAGCTGATAGAGAGGGAGGTGGTGGTGCCGCGGACTGTTTCAAAGCAGTAAGACCAAATTACCAATAATTTCCTCCCCTCCTGCCATTCTTTCTTCCCCCCCACAGAGACCGTTCGCGGAGCGGTTTGAGCTGATAGAGAGGGAGGTGGTGGCACCGCGCAAGATGGATGCCGCGATGAACCCCCTGTACGACTACAGTCTAGAGGACTTCAAGGTGCTTGCTTGCTGCTTATAGGGTTGCACATTGACCACTTTATTAGGTGGAGGGTTGGATGGTTGCAGTCATGCAAGATGGATGCAGCAATGAACCCCCTTTATGACTACAGCCTGGAGGACTTCAAGGTGCGTTTTTCTGGAAGAGTGGTGTGGCGAGGCAGGTGCTGCTTGAAAGGTGAGCGCAGCTTGAATGGTTCAAGATGGATGCAGCGATGAACCCCCTTTATAACTACAGCCTGGACGACTTCAAGGTGGGTGGTTGCTGCTTGAAAGGTGGTGTGGTAAAGAGCTGCAACAGGTGAGTGCATCTTGAAAGGTTGCTTAGTAGATGCAGCAATGAACCCCCACTACGACTACAGCCTGGAGGGCTTCAAGGTGCGCTCAGGTTGAAAGGTGATTGCAGTTTGACGGATTTGAAGATGGATGCAGCGATGCGATGAACACCCTGTATGACCACAGCTTGGATTGGAAGGACTTCAAGGTGCGCTCAGCAGGAAGGGTTTCAAGTGTCAACAGGTTGAACGGTTGTAATGGTTGACAGTGTTCACATATGAAGCTGATTGTCAGGAGAATGTCACATGAACTGTACTGTACACGACATCCATTTGCCATATGTCATTCGCAAGCTGCTTTGTCCCATGGACTATACCCCATGCCCCACCACGCCCCACGCCCCGTGTCCCATGCACTCTTCCCCATGCATGCCCCACCAGGTGCGGCGCAAGGACTTGTACATGCTCAGCACGGTGGGCAAGCTGCTTTGCCTCATGCCCCATGCGTCACCCATGCCTTGTGCCTCATCTATGTACCTGGCTGGCCCCATGCATGGTATCAATAGGTGCGGCGCAAGGACTTCTACATGATCAGCACGGTGGGCAAGCTGCTTTGCTCCATACTCCATACCCCGTACCCCACACCCCATGCCCCATTCACTCTTCCCCATGCATGCCCCACCAGGTGCGGCGCAAGGACTTCTACATGCTGAGCACGGTGGGCAAGCTGCTGCACGACTTCATCCCCAAACTCAGCCACGAGTCCGATGGACTCATCCTGCAGGTCAGTCGATGCAGTCTGTCAGGCAGTGCGTATGCGCATTGTGAGTGAGTTGACTCAAGTTATGCTTTAATGTCATGCCCTTCCAAATGGCACTGATAGCACAAAGGGGTGAAATGTATGCTGCTCATTTGCCTTGTCCGCACACCGAACTGCAGGGGTGGAATGATGCATATGTGCCGCGTACACATGAGGGTCTGCTTAAGTGGAAGTATGCTCACATGAACTCCGTTGACTTCTGCCTCAAGGTGCGTTGACTCCCGTTGACTCATGGTGCTGACTCCTGTTGACCTCTGGTTGACTCCTACTGACTCCTGTTAACTCCTGCCCACCCCTGTTGAACCTCCTCCTACACAGCACACCCCCCTTGCGCTCACTCAACCCCCTTGCCTCCTTTCCTCTTTCCACTTCACCTCGCCTCACTACCTTTCCTCTTTCCACTACACCTCGTCTCACTTTCAGCACGGTCTCTTCCGCTTTCTTCCCCGCTCCTCTCCCCTCGTCGTCCCCCGTGCATGCTGCGGTGCAGAAATCACCGGAGGGCAAGTGGGTGCTGCTGCTCTCTGACAGGAAGACGCTGCGAGCGCTACCAGCAGCCAAGTTCACCCACCCTGGTCGGTGCCTCCCTCCTGCTTTGCTTTGCTTTCCTCCTTCCCTCCTGCTCTCCTGCTCTGGCCTCACACTGTTAAGAAATCCTTCTAATTATGGCATAACCGTGTCTTTTTGTTCAATCCACACCTCCGCTCCTCGACACGAGGAAGGAGGAGGCAATTGAATTGGAGGGCAAGCAAGTGGGGTTTTGCTCATGTTTGCGCTTACATAACGCTTCTCGCCGAAAATCCCTCTCCATTCTTTCCCCGCTTAGGCACGCGTGAGGGAAGGAGCCAATGCGCTGGATAAGAATATGGTGGATTGCTGCTGAACCAAACTTGGAGCTCATTATAACACCTCACTTGCCCTAAGACAAACCAAACCACCCCCAACCTCTCTTCACCCCCCGCCTCCCGTATCCTCTCCCTGTTTTTTCTATACCCTCCTTGGAGACGAATGAGGAGGCGAGGTCACTGGAGGGGAAGGGACGATAGTGGAGTGCTGTTTGCTCCACAACATGGAGTTTCCATTCATCCATAACGCTTGTCCTCGCCCCTGAAACCCAACCCCCCCACCCCCCTCTCCTTCCTTCCCCCCCCTCCCCCCTGAAGGCATGGGTGAGGAGGAGGCGAACGAGCTAGAGGGCAAGATAGTGGAGTGCTGCTGCTGGCATGACGACATGGGGTTTCAGCTCTACACATTCACACAACACCTCTCTTTGCCCAAAGACACCCAGAACGCCCACCCAACCCCCCTTCCCCCCCTTTCCTCTCCCTTCTTTCCCCCGCAGGCATGAGTGAGGAGGAGGCGAAGGAGCTGGAGGGGAAGATAGTGGAGTGCTGCTGGAAGAAGGAGGAGGGCGAGTGGGAGTTCATGCGCGTGCGCACCGACAAGGAGCACCCCAACGCCTGGCACACGTACCTCAAGGTGATGCCTGGTACTATATGTTATCGGTAGCATGTGCTTTAAGGAAGTTGATGCGTTTTGAATGAGGAGGGCGAGTGGGAATGTCTAATGCGCGTGAAGGAGCACCTCAACGCATGGCACGCGTACCTCAAGGTGATCCCTGGTACTATATGTTATCGGTAGCATGTGCTTTAAGGAAGTTGATGCGTTTTGAATGAGGAGGGCGAGTGGGAATGTCTAATGCGCGTGAAGGAGCACCTCAACGCATGGCACACGTACCTCAAGGTGATGCCTGGTACTATATGTTATCGGTAGCATGTGCTTTAAGGAAGTTGATGCGTTTTGAATGAGGAGGGCGAGTGGGAATGTCTAATGCGCGTGAAGGAGCACCTCAACGCATGGCACGCGTACCTCAAGGTGATCCCTGGTACTATATGTTATCGGTAGCATGTGCTTTAAGGAAGTTGATGCGTTTTGAATGAGGAGGGCGAGTGGGAATGTCTAATGCGCGTGAAGGAGCACCTCAACGCATGGCACACGTACCTCAAGGTGATCCCTGGTACTATATGTTATCGGTAGCATGTGCTTTAAGGAAGTTGATGCGTTTTGAATGAGGAGGGCGAGTGGGAATGTCTAATGCGCGTGAAGGAGCACCTCAACGCATGGCACGCGTACCTCAAGGTGATCCCTGGTACTATATGTTATCGGTAGCATGTGCTTTAAGGAAGTTGATGCGTTTTGAATGAGGAGGGCGAGTGGGAATGTCTAATGCGCGTGAAGGAGCACCTCAACGCATGGCACACGTACCTCAAGGTGATCCCTGGTACTATATGTTATCGGTAGCATGTGCTTTAAGGAAGTTGATGCGTTTTGAATGAGGAGGGCGAGTGGGAATGTCTAATGCGCGTGAAGGAGCACCTCAACGCATGGCACACGTACCTCAAGGTGATCCCTGGTACTATATGTTATCGGTAGCATGTGCTTTAAGGAAGTTGATGCGTTTTGAATGAGGAGGGCGAGTGGGAATGTCTAATGCGCGTGAAGGAGCACCTCAACGCATGGCACACGTACCTCAAGGTGCGGCTGCTGCATGTCATAAGTCGCATGCACGTTGTGCTGCATGTCATGAGTCGCATGCACGTTATGCTGCATGTCATGAGTCGCATGCACGTTATGCTGCATGTCTCAAGGGATGGGAGTTGTTGATGCGTGTGCGCACCGACAAGGAGCACCCCGACGCATGGCACACGTACCTCAATGTGCGCCTTCGCCTGCTGAATGCTATGAGTAGCATGCATCTTGAGTAGCATGCATCTTGAGTAGCATGCATCTTGAGTAGCATGCATCTTGAGTAGCATGCATCTTGAGTAGCATGCATCTTGAGTAGCATGC